GGGACGGGGTTCGAACCCGCGGAGCGCACGGTGACTCATTATGATTAGTAGATCCATAACGTTTACAACCTCGCCACCGCTGCTGCAAAGCCTAAAAGATTTTATATTTATTGGCAATTTTTTTCAAGAATATTAATTTTTTGTCCTTAATAAGCCTCTTCAGTGGCGTAAAAATCTTCAACACCCTGTATCGTGGTAATGGCACATTTTGGAATCTATTTTTAGTAACTTCTAAGTTATTTTTGCTTCAGAAATATCGCGAATGTTTTGTATGGAGGTTTGAGTTTCCTCGAATTCAGATGCATTAGTCTACTCCACTCATCCACCAATTCACTAGCCCAGTTCTAGGCAGGCTGTATATGGAACAATCATGGATGTTACTTTTACTATATAGAATAATTAAAGATAACTTTCTATAGTTAACCAGCATTCTCACTCAAGTCACTGTGATATTCTACAAATATACATATAATACAATTTATTGTTTTTTGTGTTGATTTCCGGATATTTTCAGGGGTAATTTTCGAAACGTACTCTTTGGTTCTACCACATACTTTTGAAGCTGATCATCCATTTATGATAGCCCTTGTGGCCACTGAGAATGATTATGAAAATCTGTTATTCCTTGGCAGGATTAATCGCCCTACCTAAATTATTTCTTCTGTCTCTTATACTGTGATTTATACACGCTACTATTTCCTTTTTTTGTTCCATAATACTCATAACTATTCAAACTACGAGGTCTGTAAATTAAGTGATAAGACTGATATTTTCATCGGTTGTTGAAGACGACGGCCTTCCGCTTCGTGGTTTATATTCAGTCGACTCTCTCTCTCTCTTCTGAAAATGCCTTAAACAACTGACAAAGTTGGGCTCTTGACAAAATCTATCTCCGCAGGCCTGTTTAGCAAGAGTTTCCGTTACACTGTGCCCAAGAATGAAGCAAACCCTGATAGCACGCCGTTGTTTAAAATTGATTAATTTTAGAACACAATAGAAAAAACCGTTTCACAAAAAACTCGCTACGAACAAACAAATGACTCGAGCAAGTTCAAACTTGTACTGAATGCGGATCACATGTTCCCTGTCTTCCCTCCAAACCCGGCGCCTCCAGTGTTGCCAGATCGAACACTCCACCTTGAAAGTCTCATCACTTAATTCACAGACCTCGTAAGTCTATAAAACGTACCTTTATACATTAATTTGTTTTTTTTTCGTACTCTTGAATACTCAAAGTTGTATAACTCTTAAGTATCAATTAACGAAGTGTAGATATATATGTTTGGTGTATCAATAAAATCCGCATAAACAATTATTTGTTATCTGATGTCTGCATGCAATCCCAAATTTTCTAGATTCGGATAGTGATGTCTAAAATATAAAAGATTGTGATCAGTGAATGATTGCTAAAAATGGTAAATATCTTTGAATAGACAAGTAGAAAATAAAATATTACGTTTTATGCCTACTTGAGCCCAAGTAGCTAAATGGGTAGTTACTAGAGCGTCGTACACATCTATTCGGTTTTGAAGATTAATTAGATCGCGGAAAAAATGGCGTCAAGCAGGTTGACCTCGTACTTCCCACGTAACGCTGTCCTGAATTTATAAGGGATTATATTCGGCACAAGATAGACGCTCTTAGAAAAACATTGACTACGAACTTATGTGCATCTTCTGATCGGCTGCCCTAGACGTACCCTTGTTTAAAGGGCTTATATATGGTGAATGCACTTAATGGGATGCAAGGAACCCCTCCTTATTTTAATCTGCCGCGCTCGATTATATCCCAAAACCCTTACTACTAAACGTTAACGTAATGGGAAATAGAATAAATTGGTCATACGGGCTCGTTATGATTTTTGATAAGTTTTTAGAAAATTAATATGTACATTTCAAAATACCCAAATGATCAGTAAAAAAGTAAATTGCTTGAGGTTTTCAGTGTGTCGGTATTTCTCACTGAATTTCCTTTTTTTAACAACTTTCAGTGCTGATATCGTGCGCCTCTGTTTGCTTTACTGTTGCATAAATGCCAGGCAAATAGGATAATAAGGTTTATTAGTTGATTCACGATCTTTAGCGGGTCTCAATAATCATCACGGCATCACTTCAAAAACGTCAACCTCCCTCACATATACGAGTACATATGTAATTTGCTCTATGCGCGGAGGTTTGGTTATGTAAGCTCACACAAACGTTCTTTAGTTTCGTCTCGCCACCTCGAAAATTTTCTTGTCCACGTATGAGTATTTCTCATCTATGTTTGTCACTTCCAGATAACCCGCTTGACAAGGGCGTACCATTTTGAGTTTGCCTTTTGATGATCTTTGTAGTATAAAGCATAGCCAGTACCTGAAAATACAACTAACGGACATTATCGATAGTTTTTGCCACTATTATTGGAGTATTTTGAGAAAACAATGATCCTTTGTTAAACATTTCATTTGTGCAAGAGCAGCTGCGTTTCAGAATCAGTTTGCCCAGTGCACAATAGAGGCACAGCTCCGGATACGGTTCAGTTGGTCGATTTGCTTCCGTATTTAGTATGGTACTGATGACGTATTCACTAAAACCCATGAAAAGTTCTGAAAGTTGGGACGTTCCGTTTCAGAAAAAATTAATGAAAAAGTGCTCACCTTTCATTGAATAGACATTTCAAGGACAACTCTGTCACTCATAAGTATTGTTCAAAGTTGTTTGTGATAGATTCAAAGACACGTGTATGTGATCGACAGTGTTCACCTCAGTTTTATACACTAAATATTTCACTTCGCAAAAAAATAAATCATGAGGGATCTTGAAAAACGATCTGCATGCACTCGTGAAGTCTCGAAAGCATTTCGAAGACGCTCGCCTTAAATTGAAATAACATGAATGAGTGTACGATGTTTGTTTTGTTTTTTAGAACCGATATGTAAATGTTTTGTTTGCCAATGCGGCCAGCTCCTGGATGGTGTAGTTTTGTTTAGGTGTGATTTATTTTGCAGAGACTAAAATCTCAGTAATCTCAAGACCGGTGTATATATTAATAGAAAAAATTTTCCAAGATCTATACGCCGTGTAAAGGAAAGCAGCTACATTGAGGACACCCTGTAAATGTTATTTTGATGCAAAATACAAGTTCTCGAGGATTCAGCCAAACGCAATTGAAGTTTAGCTGGATAAAACGTGATTCTTGAAGTCAAGCCTTCGGAAATGTTTATTTTCTTCACCAAGACATACTACAAAGAATATTGAATATCAATTAAAACCATTACAATATCCATGAAAAAAAATCTTACAACGTGAAGTCCTTTTTCAGGGCGAGCAATAAAACAAGCGCAGGAAAACCATTAATAACGTACATCAAACATGCACAAGTCACAAAATGAAGTATTGATCAATATGAACACTTAAAGAAAGAAAAAAAATTATGTTTTTTCCATATGATTAGCTTGAAAGATTTTAACAGATTAACTGCTAAATGACGGCAATTTAGCGCATTACAACAACAAGTTGGCTGTTGAAAAACAAGGGATATGAAAGCGTAAATGCGCATGAAGAAGTCAGTTTATTACCAACAGTGAGAAGATATTTTTTTGCGTAAAGATATTATCGAATTTTGTATACGAATGTCGGGATTTTTTATGTTTCGCATGATGTCTATGCCTAATAATAATTATACCTCCACATCGATATAACAGATCATAAATGAAGCACTAAAAAAACCACGAATATCGCGAAAATAAATTTAGCTCACTCTCATTTAACCTTCAACATAGCATGTAATGCATGTGGATTGGAGACCGAGCCTGTACCAAAGCCATCGCATCAGACGAAAAACCGCCATATGCATGAAAAATGGTAATATAATATCGGATCACATATTCGACATAAGCCTAAGAGCCCCATCTCATTTGTAGGTGTGCACATAAGAATGCGAACAGCTAGAATAGGAGAACCAGAAGATTTTCTCGCCGATCATCCATTTTTTGCCATGCTGGGTAGAAGAAATGGAAAGGGCAAACGCAAGCATCGACTTATTAACCCTATTTTTTTTGGGCGTGTGATCAAACCTTCCAAACGACCGTGACAATATCAGATTTGATAAAATGGGTGCCAGCACACAAGGTGATGCATTTGAAATGCCTACCGTGTCACTGTATTATTTTTTAGTATTATTCTGATGTATATGTACAAACATTACCGAAAATACCACATAGATTTTTTCGTTCATCCTGTACACCATCTAATTTCCAAAAATGTTGACATTACTATTTTTTATACAAGGTATATAGTAACACAAATCATTTTTTTACAATAAAACTTATTTCCTCATCTTTATTTTTATTTCACAAATTCATCTATAAGCAAAAAATCCTGTAATAGATGAAAGTAGGTATTTTGCTACAGTTTTGGCAAAAATCTTTTGAGCAATTCAAACACAACCTACTTAAGTTGTCATATGTGAATCTTATATATTCAGAAACAAAGCAGTAAGCCAGTAAGTACTTTATTGTAAAAGAAAAAACGGTTTTCGTGACCCTTGACACTGTTTAATAACGTTTCTGTTTAACACATGATGGTGTCCATGAAGAACAATTCACTCATATCGCGAAGGCTCATTGATAGCATTTTTGAAAGAAATGTACTTTCTGTTTGATATCGGTGAAATTAACCGTTTTTGAGAAAAACACTCGTTGTTTCAGTTCGGCACCTGCTGGGAAAAAGCCAGGATATTTGTTTAGGGCTAAGAAGTACTTTTCTGTTCATAACCTACTAACTCTGTACAAGGCTCAGATGAGACCTAGCCTTGAGTACTGCTCACATGTTTGGGGTGCTATCGGCCCGAGTTCATTATCCATGCCCCATGCTGTTCAGAGGAAGGCCAACCGACTTAACGATGACTCTTCTCTAACTGAGAGTCCTGGGACCTTTTCGAACACGCAGGCCGTTGGCGATCCAGCTCTCTTCTACCGTTAGGCCAACGAACTTTGCTCCTCGAAGCTCTCCTCCGCGATGCCGCTACGCGATGTGCCTGCCAGACAGCCACGCCTGACTTCGGCCTCCCATCCTAACCTTCGTACATCCAGAACTGGTCGATACGACCGGTCCTTTATCCCTAGGGCGTCGAAATTGTGGAACAATGTACTTGAGGAGTTCTACTAACCTTAGGCAGTTCAAAAAGCGGATCTTTAAGCTCCTCATAACGGTCGCGATGCCTTGGTATTTAGGCTTCTGTCTGTGCGGCATAAAAAACTGTTCTATGAGTATTAATAATTTTGGCACTGGATCCAGTATACCGATTAAGCCATTTTGGTAATGCAGTTATTCTGATAAGATTTGTAATTATCTATTTGAAAACCCCAGGCTATATTTTTTTGATTAAGTCTTGGATCCAAGTCTAATTTTTTGGGGGCTAGCAGTGTGAATCGATAAGATCAGTATTGATCAGTCTAGTTTCTCAAAAAGGGTTCATTTTATCAAAAACAGACAAGATTATATTTTTTCAGCTAAAGCATTATTAGTCCACCCATTCTAGCTTTGGACTACGGAAAAATTAAGAGGAGAAGAAAATCGTCGGGGGTTGTTGAAAGATGGTCTAGACATGCCTTTATTTAACTTTGTGTTAAAATCATTGAATAGAAATCTTTGCAATTGCAAAAAAAACTTTTTTGGTTTACTTTTTAAAGTAATCCAAAAACCGTTGATTTTCAAGAAGCATTAAAGCACTTTTATAGAAAATAAAACGACGGACATTTTTAGATGTGTAGATATTTAACTTTTCTCATGTTGTGAAGAACACAACCGGGTGAATCGGTATAGAAAGCAGGGAATTATTGCATCAATCTTACATGAGTTACTTTAATCTCGATGAAAATAGCAAATGAACTTAAAGTTTTCTTATGACGGATAAAATTAAACTTTGTTTTTTAATTAGTGACCATTTCATTTGACACCCATATCATAGGGGTGACTATATTAATAATAATAGATGTGTTCATTTCTTTACAACATTGAAATGCAGCTAAGGTAAGACTTAGCATTAAATGGTGAAATTAGCGTTAGCTCTACTCTTACATTTAATCATAAAAGTCACTAGCAGATGTTAATAATAATGAAATGTTTTTCACAACCAATAAATAATAAATAAATAAATTGTTACAATAAAGCGAGAACTGGCATAATTTCCAAAGTTCAACAAAAAGTAGAAAAGTAAAACAAGCATCATTGTGTAATAAAATCATTGAAGTAATGGTAATTTAACTTTTTGTCGAAAAGCTGATAATGATATATGGTGACAACATTGTAGGAGAAACTGCGTTGAAATAGGGTTGTTGAATACTGAGGTAGCCTGATAATTTTATCTCTAAGTGGTCTATAATGAATATCATTGTTAAATGATATTTTTTTCGTAAGTAAGGCGGTTTAGTCGTAAGTAATAATTTATGGGTCAAAACTGAGAAGTGATATTGAAACAAATCACTGATATTGAACCAATTGGGTGTTGGATATTTTGCGGATATATGATCAAATTTCAGGAGTCCAAAAATAAAACGAACACAATTATTTTGGATGATTTGAATTAGGTGTTGGTATAGCTGTCCTAAACATGGATAGCATACTATATTGCAGTAATTTAGAATAGATGTGAGTAAGGATTCACATAATTTTTTACGTAACCTGAAATTTAGTAGATATTGGTTTGCAATAAGAGTACGTAGCGTTAGATAAGTTTTCCGCGAAAGACTTTTGACATGTTCGATAAATCTTAATTTTGTGTAAAAAACAACACCAAGAATTTTTGAAGATTCGAAAAACTAGTAAGTTTTGATTACTTATTTACACCTTCAAGAGTGACGTTAAGTCATCCTCCTTTTTGGGCACAAAATAATAACATTTTAGATTTTTGAGAGTGGCAGCTAGATCATGATCAGATGAATATTTTGTAAAACTTCTACAATATTTTTGACGTTCTGAAGTTTAAAATGATGTAGCAGTGGTGTCTCGTTTGAGAAAGATTGAATATGTGAATTATCTACGGATTTTGTTCAAGCCAAACGTGTATATCAAAAATAATAACGGTAAAGGTACTGACACAGATGCTTGAAGTCTCCTGAAGGGATTGTAGTCACATGAGACAATTTTTGATCAATGCCAACACATTGAGCGATTTGACCAAGATAACTTCTGAAAAATGAAAGAGCTTAGCTATCAATACCTATGTAATTCAATTTAGATTGCAGTAATTCATGATTGATGCTGTAAAAAGCTTTCGAGAAATCTATTGATATTAAGATTAAGCGATTTCCTAATTTAAGGCTCCTAAAATATTATATTACAAATGAAGAAGCATGGATGTTGTACTATGATTTTGTCTAAAGCCAGATTGGGTATCAGGAATTATTGAGTATTTTTCAAGATTTTGTGTTACTCTCATCAAGCCCTTAAATTTGATTCCAATATCATACTGGTTATGGTGGAAATGATGAATTGCCATTTTGTAGAATGCGCCATATTAGATTCAACATGGCAGCACATAACTCTTTGAATAACTTTGCAGTTTTGGATTTCAGACCGTTGATATTAATTCAGATATAAATTCTAGGGATTTGGTCATTTTGAATCATTTATTAAACGATACTGATTTTTGATAACTTATTCAAACATAATTACAATTTTATATTACCACCCTCAAAATAAGTTCGTTCTAAAGTCACACAGCGCTGAAGACGGTTCTTTCACTCCTCATAGCAGTGATGGAACTCCAGTTCTGGAATAGCCTTAAGCTGGTAGGTTACAGCCGTTTGAATGTTTTTGACTGTTCCAAAATGAGTCCCCCTGAGGTGATTTTTCAACTTTGGTAGGAGAGAAAAGACTGAAGGACTGAAGGCAGTCGGATAAGGAGACTGAGGAGCCACAGAAACGTTTTTACTGGCCGAAAACTCGGTTATTGACATTGCTATGTGACAATGAGCATTATCATGATACAACACCCAGCTGTTCTTGATCTGATGAACGGTGGTGTGAGTCAAATTTAACTCTTCCCCGATCATTCTGACTACCAACAGACGATTTGAACGCGCAAGATTTCGGATTCTGTCGATATTTTCATCGGTTCTTGAAGCCGTCCTTTCAGTGGTTCATCTTCAATCGACTCTCTCCCTATTGAAAATGCCTTTAATCTGGGCTTCTGACAAAACACTATCTCCGTAGGCCTGTTTAGCAACCGTTTCCGTTGCACTGTGCCCAACTCTAAAGCAAAACCTGATAGCACACCGTTGCTCGAAATTGATGTCAATCATTTTTAGAACAATAGAAAAAATGCTTCAGAAAAAAAAATCGCTACGGACAACCAAATAACTCGAGCGAGTTCAAACTTGTACTGTATGCGGATCACGCGTTCTCCTGTCTTCTCTCCGTTCCCGACGCTCCAGTGTTGCCAGATCGAACGCTTCGTTGCCAGTCTCATCACTTAATTTACAGACCTCGTACAACATTTCGGCAACTTTGAACGCCTGTCAGTTTGTAAAAAATACACCTATACTCAAACCAAGAACTTGTATGTAGCAGAAATGTGATTTCTTTGCTAACTATTTTAGAAACTGGCATGTACCTTACGTGGAGATAGCATTTAAAGTCTCCGAACGGTCGTATTTTTAATAAATGTTCCAAGTTGACCGAATCCCATGCATTTATAACTGAAATAACTCGTTGTGTATTGTTAGGCGGACCAAACAAATGTCAGATGAATTGGATAATATTTACTGGTTCAGAATTTTTCCCAAACATACATCGTAACTAACAGGTCATGTTGCACTGCAAAAATACATAGTCAACGATTTTCTGGTAAAGTTGAAAAATGTCGTACTTCGACTCGCGGATGATTTTGTTCTGTCACTTGGAGTTACCCCGCTTTTAAAGCTCTGGTCGATGGCCTATAGGCTTATTTTCGGGCCATTATTGTACAAAGTGAAAAATATTTCGGCAATAAATGAGTTAATTATTTTTTTTATGGATATCATCAAGTAATGCTCCAATTTCCAGTAGGGTCCTTCAGGTGCCTGTATCTCCGCCCTGTAGGACGTTTTTTCTAGGATACTCTATTATACTGGGACACCCTATATATTCGCGATTAATTAGTCAAAAGATCAGTCTTTCTAAGGCATGGTTGACTGCATGAGTGAATGTTTGTATGAAGCCTTGTTGCTTGCTTAACCCCATTTACCATTCAAACATAATAACGTGGTGTTTTTCAAGGGGTTATGATATCGGCAAGATGCATGCCACCGCCACCAGAAGATTTCTTAGCAGATCATCCATTCATCGCTGCTCTACAGGCCAAAGGGCAAAATCTTGGAAATGTTTTGTTCTATGGAAAAATCACGAGGCCAAAGTGAACGGTTTAAGTTACGTTTAATGGTAACGTGAGTCTATTAGACTGTTTGTTTTGTATTATATTGTTGTTACTTCTGTATTGTTTTATGTGATGTTTTGACGTATTAAATATTTTTAAGAATAAGTATATTGCTATTTGAAGGATTAAGTGGTTATTCTAAGAGGACCCATTGAACAACGTATTCTCCAAGAAGATGCCCAGCTATTTGCTGTATTTGGACAAACTTGCAATTTCTACCCTTTCAACGATGTTGCCAAATAAGATCGCCGTAATTCCCCAAGAATTAAGAAAAGCAGACTACATTTTTCTTTTAAAGAACATTATTCATGCTTAAACATGACGTCATCCTTCCAAGGAGAGATCCAGCTTCGCTCTCCCTCGTAATTATTCCCAATAGTATTCTCAGAATAATTTCTCAATGATGGAAAAGGAATCCCATAACCTGCGGCAACAGTTTGAGAGGTAGCAACGGTGAAACATAAAGATGGTGGTCGAGACGTATGAGGTGTGGCACATTATAGATTTCTGCGTACATTTGCTCTTAAAACTTAAATATTTACAGAATTGGGATGACGCGGTATTATCTCTATATATGAACATTATGCTACGTAATGTTATGAGGTCACTTGATTTTGTGAAGTACTATTATATAGTATAGAATATATAGTATATAAGTATGTGTCAAGAGCTATTATAATCACGTGACAAACATTGCCGGCAAACAGTTTTACACCAGACCTCTGAATAAATGAGGCTACCGTGTACGGACATGCTCATTGCTCACAAAATCTACGTCTTTTATATGCTAATGCACTACTTGAAAAATTGTACTAGACGTCGTTTAGAAGGCGTGGGAAGTATAGAGTAAATCTACTTGACGCTAATTTTCATGAGCGCATGGTCGCAGCACTTCCTACTCCAAATCTATAATAAGAAACATTGAGACATAAAACATATAAACATGAAAGTGTTGCTCAACTGCGCCTCTCAGTTGAAACAAATAAATGCACAATAATATAATCCATCTTTTGTTTATATTGTGAGCGCAATGGCGCAACGCTACAATTTTATTTTTAAATTCAAATGTGTATTTAATAATGTCGATAAAAGTGTAAAATAAATTCGTTTTGTAATATTTAATTGCGATCATCCAGAAATAAGACTTATTTTCTGGGACGAACAATCCATCCACATATCTTATCCTTATGGGTCTCCTACATAACATTACATCAGCACAAGACAAGCCTATACCCTATTTCACGAGTATCCATCACGCTTTGACGTCAACTGAAGTGAACCAAGTGACATTTTTTGTATTAGTCCGCGACGTTGGCAATAATGAATCGGGTATAAATCTAGTAAAACTTGTCTAGGGTTTTGTTTTTGTATGCAAATGAACGTTTCTAAATAAAAGAGCTGGTAGCAAGTACAAAATGAATCTGTAGCGTACAAAAAAAAACAATAAGGCTCGGACTACCTGACCTGAAAATTATGTGTCCTGTGCCGATATGGGGAATTTTGAGATATCACTATATAATTGGCTGCCATTCTACCGCGATGGATACTCGTGAAGTAGGGTATATAAGTGGATTCACTGTTTCATTTCAGAAATAGAATCAAACCTTCCATCAACCATTTCAGGGTGGATCATTCCGCTGTGATAATTTTGCGAAACACTCTAAATAAACATTACTGTATATTATTTGTGGGACGTGTGATGATGCTATCTTTTGCCACCCATTGGCTGTTTAGACTTTACGAAGAAGAACGATAAAATATATATTACTTTATGATCTCATGTTTTTCGGCAAAGCTTCATAATTATACTAATATTAGAATAATACATCGCACTAACAAAACAATAAAATATTCATACCTATTAATACTACTGTGTTGCATTAGGTCATGAAATCATATTAATATCTATCTATTAATATGATTATTGTGATCTAAACCGTTCATGTTCCCTCATTCCATTTGGCCAAACATAAAATGGTTGCTGTGCGGCAGTGAATTTTGGGAATTCTAATTTTGATTAATTTTTGCGTCTAATACCAACTGTAACATTAAATTGATGTTGATATCAATGTGAGCTTCTTCAATTCCATCTTGTGCTAAAAGTGGATTTAAAAATCATTCTCATAAACAATGGTTCTGATCTCTACCGTAACATATCTGGTGGACAAGTATTTTGCAAATCCTCTCACGTCATATCAACCCATCAAAATTGCAGTATATCAACAGGTGAGTAAATATTATATATTATATTAAATAACCATCGGGTACTCTTAACTCAAACTGAATGAAGTGTAGAGGAAAAAGTCTAATACATTACTCTTGCACTAATTTATAACAACACTCGCAACTAATTTATTACAAATTTATAACCATGTCGACTGGACTATCGCATTCCGCGTTGATGACCGTTCCGACTGTGGCTGCCCGCTTCCGTCACCTGGTCGGGTATTTAACTTCAATCGACGAATTCCAGAAGCCTTCCAGGGCGAGCGCGAACCTTGATCGAAGCAAGAAGACAGATTACTTCTTGATAACGGCAGATGCTTCCCGAAGACGCCACAAGCTATACACGGTGGCGCAACTCTGGTAGACCAAGCGTCGATATAGCGAGGACGTCTCATCTTTGCTCAAGGCCCCTGTTACGAGGGCATTACAATATAAACAGAGTACAACTTTAACAGCCTGCATCTCAGTAACGGCGTATTTTAAGACCAATGTATAAATGAGCTTTTCGTGTAGTTTTTGGGCCTATTTTCTAACCCCAGAAGTATTGCCACGATTTTCTGAATCTGTAAGATCCTCAAGCATAATTATTTAAGACGTTATTAGCTTACGATGTATCTGTATCGTTTGGGAAGTTTGTGGAAGCAATGTTAACATATAACTTTTTTTTCAAGGGATCTTGTCTGTAATTAAAAGTGCAAACATAGCGCCGCCTACGATTTTCAACGTAGACCATCCATTTATACTGCTGCTGCAAAATCGGGAAGATGGAGCTGCAAATATTCTTTTCCAAGGACGAGTTCTTCAACCTGCCCAATAATCCGCAACAGAAAAGATTTCCACTTTGCACTAACTATACAGCAAAAAGTAATTGCTACTACCCTTTGATTTAATGTTACCTATTTTTAGCTCAAAAACTAAAAATAAAATGTGTAATAAATATGTATGCAATAAATATATAATCATACATTTTGTTATTTTTAATACAATCAATGAAGTTTTTCTTGCTTGACAATGTTCCAAACACCTATATTAATTTTCTACATCGATTTTAAAATAAATTATTTGGTTCTAGTTAACAATGTCAACACACTTCCTCCTTGGCGTTACCTCTTCCTTTTTTTCTTAAGTTTTCGTTTATTTCTTCCTGAAAGGTATCTTGGCAACCTGATCCGAAGACTTATCAGGTTTTAACCACTGACCAAAATATTCAGTGAAACGTTGCCAATGCTCGAAAATAAAATATACAATTACTTGCGAACAGCAAAAATCATACAGTGCTCTCCTAAATAATTCCCATATACTTATTTTTTGAATAGGTTCTGCTAGTATGTTGAAATCGGGGTGATGAAATTGATGCATGAATAATATGTTTTTCCGTAAAAATGGCAGTTGAAAATTCCAAGATGGCGGTTGAGCGCAGATTTGATTACCACGGAGCCTAGCAACAATAACTTTATGCAAAAAATGCAGAAAAGATGTGAATCTGGAGAGTACTATACCCTATTCCACGAGTATCCATCACGCTTTGACGTCTACTGAGGTGAACAACTCATCAGCAAGTGACATTTTTGTGTTAATGTTATTTAGGTTTTTCGGTTTGTAAATCTAGTATAACTTGTTTGTAGCGTTTTGTTTTCTGTATGCAAATGATCTTTTCTAAATAAAAGAGCTGTTAGCAAGTACAAAATGAATCTGTAGCGTACAAAAAACCAAAACAAAATACGGCTCTGTCTACCTGGCGTTGACGGATCCGTCAGAATGATGTGTTCTGTGCCGATATGGGGAATTTTGAGATATTACTAGATAATTGGCTGTCATTCTACCGTGATGAATACTCGTGAAATAGGGTATATAAGTAGATTCACTGTTCCATTTCAGATGCAGTAGTGACAAATAGAATCAAACCTTCCATCAACCATTTCAGGGTGGATCGTGCCGCTATGATAATTTTGCGAAACACTCTAAATAAACATAACTGTATATTATTTGTGGGACGTGTGATGATGCTATCTTTTGCCACACATTGGTTGTTTAGACTTTACGAAGTAGAACCATAAGATATATTACTTTATGATCTCATGTTCTGCGACAAAGCTTCATAATTATACTAATATTAGAATAATACAAAGCACTAACAATAAAATATTAATAACTATTGATATTAATGTGTTGCATTAGGTCATGAAATCAGATTAATATCTATCTATTGATATAATTATTGTGATCTAAACCGTTTATGTTCCCCCATTCCATTTGACGAAAAATAATATGGTTGCTGTTTGGGAATTCTGATTTTGGTGAATCTTTACGTCTAATCCCAACTGTAACATTAAATTGATGTTGATATCAATTCGAGCTTCTTCAGTTCCATCATGTTCTTAAAGTGGATTTAAAAATCATTCATATAAAGAATGTTTCTGATCTCTACCGCAACTCATCTGGTGCACAACATTATGCAAATCCTCTCGCGTCATACCAACCCATCAACATTGAGGTATATCGACAGGTGAGTAAATATTGAATATTATATTATAAATATAACCCTCGGAACCTCTTAACTCAAACTGAATAAAGTGTAGACGAAAAAGTCTAATGTATAACAACACCTGCAACTAATTTATTACAAATGTATTAGCCTGTGGACTGGACTATCGCATTCCGCGTTGTTGACTGTTTCGACTGTGGCTGCCTGCTTCCGCTATGTGATCGGGTATTTAACTTCAATAGATGAATTCCAGAAGCCTTCCAGGGTGAGCGCGAACCTTGCTCGAAGTTTGACAGATTACTTCTTGATGACGGTAGAGCTATACCGCTCGTGATGCACGGTTACAATATAAACAGAGTACAACTTTAACATCCTGCATCTCAGTAATGGCGTAGTTTTAAGACCAATGTGTATATGAACCTTTTTGGGGCTATTTTGTAACCACTGAAGTATTGCCACGATTTTCTGAATCTGCAAGATCCGTAAGCATAATTCTTTAATTCGTTATTTACTTCAGATTTATCTGTATTGTTTGGGAAGTTTGTGGACGCAGTGTTAACATATAATTTTTTTCAAGGGATCTTGGTTGCTGTAGCTACAAGCTTAGACATAACGCCGCCCAGGATTGTCAATGTGGACCATCCATTCATATTGCTGTTGCAAAATCGAGAAGATGGGGCTGCAAATATTCTTTTCCAAGGACGAGTTCTTCAACCTGTCCAGTAATCCGCAACAGAAAAGATTTCCACTTTGCACTAATTATACTGCAACAAAATAATTGTTACCCATTGATTTAATGCAACCTATTTTTAGCTCAAAAACTAAAAATAAAATGTGTAATTAATATGTATGCAATAAATATGTATAATCGTACATTTTTTATTTTCAACGTTATCAGTGATTTTTTTCTTGCTCGATAATGTTCAAAACACCAATATCAATTTTCTAGATCGATTTTAAAATAAATGATTTGGTTCTACTTACCAACGCAGTTCCCTCTTGACGTTACACCTTCATTTCTTTAGTTTTCTTTTATTCCTCCCTGACAGGTATATGGGCAACCAGATCCCGAAGACCTACTAACCGACCAGACTTTAACCACTGACCAAAATATTCAGCGAAACGTTGCCAATGCTCGAAAATAAAATACACAATTACTTGCAAACAGCAAAAGTCGTGCAGTGCTTTAAAAAAAAATCCTCACATACTTATTTTTTGAAGATTTGAATCTGGAGAGTACTGTAAATTCAATCATCCCAGGTGATGCCAAAGGGCAAAAGCCTCGAAACGTTTTGTCTATAGAAAAATCACAAGGTAAATTTGGACGGTTTACCTTACGTTTAATATTAACGCGAGTCTATTAGATTGTTTGTTTTGTATTATATTGTTGTCTTATGTGATGTTTTGAAGTATTAAATATTTTTAAGAATAAGTATACGCTACGTAAATGGTTTAATATAAAAAAGTACACAGCTTTGTAAGGATTGGGGCTTCGATTCCATTATTAACGCTTCTCAACTTGATAGCAGTCATTTGGGATGACTTGCACTTATCGGAATTAACTAGCTTTTAATTATAATTACTGGTATGGCTAAGCTTAGGGTTTTATAGTTTTTAATATTCACTACTTCAAATACTACATAGCTTTAGTATAGTGTAGAGGTCGCCAACCTTTTCAGTGTGTTGAGCTACTTTGATAATTTTGGGATAGTGTAACCAATGTAACCCAACCTAAATGAATTTATACACAATTGTATGCGACATACATGTGTTTATTTTACTAATACTAATACATACTAATAAACTTGAATAAACTAATAACTACATCCATACCTACCAATCGTGGGTGTTTGAATAATAAACAAAATTTTTCTTCAGCTATAATGGGATGTCACATACGATTTAATAAAGGTAACTAAAAATAAAAAAAGCAACGCACTATTTTAAACAAAAACATGTCTAGATAAAATATGCGGGTTCAATGAGAAGCCTGACACTCAGACTCACTGACAATTTTTTTTTAATGTTTGGACCATAATTTGATCCCGCGATTCGAATACGGTATTCGTTTTTAATAAACTTCATATTTGAAAAAGAATATTCACACAAATAGGTTGAACTAAATAACGCTTTCACTTTCAAGGCAACACGTCATAAAACTGAATATTTATCTTTACTTACTGAAGGCCAGATACATTTTGTATTTGAGACTAATGATTTTAAAGCTAAATCATTTTGAAACGCTATCACTTCCATTTCTTTCGCAGCGATGTCTTCGCTAAAATTCTGCGTAACAGAAGTTGCAAACTGTTAGATATCAATTTCCATGAAGGGTGAAACAACAAATTGCGCCACTATAGCAATTTCGTTGAAATCATTGAAACAATTTTTGAAGTTGTCCTTCAAGTTGGAGACTATTTCTAAATGATATTTACTGTCTTATGGTTCTAATGGACTTTGAGATATCTTTTCTGAAAGAACAGGAAAATGCCTGGTATAGCCATCGATTAAGTTTTGTTCCCAAAACTCAAGCTTTTTAATAAATGATTTTACATCAGAAATCATTTCTGCTAGTTCTTTGTCTCTCCCCTGAAGCCGCAAATTAAGTTCATTTAATATTTCTGTAATATACAAAAGAAGATCAAAATCTCTAAGCCAGATTGAATTTTTCAGTTCCGGGATCGAAAAATTGAACTATGGCACTCGTCCCCTATTTAATCATCAGACTTCAGAGTGCAGAAGTAGTTCCCCGTATTGACAATCAATATCATCGGCTAAGGTTTTGAATAATCTTCTTTGTAACGCTTGAGCTCTAATCTTGTTCACAATTTTTACTACCAATTTCAACGTTATTTAGTTATAGAAAATGTATCCACATAATGCTGATGGATAATGCAGGGGTGATAGAGAAATTGCAGAAAACTTTCATCTTTACGACATAACCCCACTAGACCCTTGTCACGGCCCACCATAGCTGGAGCGCCATCGGTTGTCAAGCGTACCATTTTCTATAATGGAATTTTCTCAGAAGATATAATATTTTTAAAAGAAGAAAACAAGTCCTGCCCAGTAGTCTGTCCTTTTAGTGGAATAAACTTCAAAAGATCTTCTTTAATCGTAAAATCACTAAAAACCATCCTCACGAACAAGGCGTGTCAACGACAACTGGGGATTCATCCAGCTGCAGTAAAAAATAAGCGTAGGTATCGAAGTCATTTCTTAACTGTAAAACTATATCATTGCTCATTACTTCCACTCGTCTCATGCGTGTATTAGCAGAAAGTTGCATAGATTTTATAGCAGACACTATTTCGTCTTTATTTTTAATGTTGGAAAATAATGAATCTGCAGCTTCTAAAAACGCCTGTTTTATCATTTCCTCATTTTCATAAGGTTTCTTCTTTTGTGTAATTATCTGGGACATCCGGTATGATGCTTCAGTTGCACCCTTTTGTCAATTGTTTTTAAAAACTTTGTCTGTTGTCCAATTAACTGATTTTTTAATTGTTTCAGTTTTTCCGTTCTGGTTGCAGAACGTAAGGGGAATGATTTTTCAAAATTCGAATGTACAGTTTTATAGTGCCTCTCGATATTTCCTGTTTTAGCAACGGAAACAGATGTATTACATAACAAACATACATTTTTACCTTTAACTTCGGTAAAGAAATATTGTTCTTCTCGTTCCGAATGGAAATGGTATGTTGCCGCGCCTTGTGTATTTATTCCGTTCAAAGTAATCGAGATCGTTCTCAAACAGATCGCTAACCGCAGTGTTGCCGCTGCTTGTGTTTATTATGAGAATTTACGGAAGCTTCTATGATTTTACACATTTTTAAAATATGTCGTGAGCCACCAGAATCGCCTTTGTGAGCTACCGGTAGCTCGCGATCGACGGGTTGGCGACCACTGGTTTAGTGGGTTATCCATGAAATTAGTTCCAAAAAGGATCAGAATCAAATTTTAAATTGATCGCTGGTATGAAATTTTTGCATTTAAATATTTCAACATTTTTCTTTTGATTTTAGTACTAGTAGAGATTGTTATTTAAATGGCCAACAGTTAAATATTAAAGTTATTATTTTTTTATGAGCGCCCCACTCCAAATCTATAATAAAGCACACTAAGACACAAAACATACCTACGTATAAACAAGTGCTGCTCCATTGCACTCACAATAACATCAAAAGCAGAAACAAATAAAATTATAATGATACTTTATTTTTTAATGCAACATTTGAAACTTATGTTTTTTCTGTTGTGAGCGCAGCGGCGCAATACTTTAACTTTTACATATATTTTGTATCTCAGTGTGTTTGATAATATATTTGAAGTAGAATTTGTTTGGACCATATAAAAATAATAAAGTCAATGTTCGAAAATGCGTGAATTTTGGACAAACGTTCGAACCATGGACTTTTAAAAAACAATTAAGTACTAAAATAAAAATGTCGATGAACCTGTAAAATACATACGTTCTGATATTACAGTTATTTTCAGGGCTAAAAAATCCATTCACACATCAATATCCCTATGGGTCTCCAACTTAATCTTACTTTTGCAGAACATAAGCCTTAAGCAGTAGTGACAACTAGAATCAAAACTTTCATCAACCATTTCAGGGTGGATCATCCCGCTATGATACTTTTGCGTCCTCCTGTGGTATCTCATTCCAGGCAACCACCAACTCCTCTCGAAGTGCTTCTAGAGTCTGAGGAGAACGTTGCAAATTGAGCAATCTCCTACCCATCATATCCCACACGTGCTCAATTGGGGATAAGTCGGGAGATCTTGGTGGCCATGGTAACAATGTGACATCATTATGTTGAAAGAAGTCTATTGTGACTCTTGCAACATGTGGTCGGGCATTATCTTGTTGGAAAGTTGGATCTGCCAGGGTGTCAAGATAGGGTAAAAGATGGGGTTCTAGAACTTCGTGGATATAACGCTGCGCGTTCATGTTACCTCTGATGAAGATTAAAGGTGACCTGGAACCATAAGCTATAGCACCCCAAACCATAACTCCAACAGTGTGATGAACATGTCTTTCAACAAAAAACTGTGCAATCCTCCTTTCACCACGTCGCCTTCTAACCCTGGCATGCCTAAACAAAATCGAGACTCGTCACTAAAGACAATACTGTTCCATTCCTGATCCCAGAGTGACCGTTGTCTGCACCACTCAAGGCGATTACGTCGGTGTTCTCGAGTTAACGGGAGGACCCAGTGTGGCCGGTATGAAAACAAGCCAAAACTTCTCATTCGTCGGTAAACACTTCGCATGCCAATAGGTCTTCCGTGTTCTGCAAACCATTCATTTGCAATGGACCTGGTAGTGGAGAAACGGTCCCTTAAGGCCAATAATCTTAGGCGGCGATCTTCACGGTCTGTTGTTCTACGGCGGCGTCCAGTGCCCCTTGCTCTTTGCGTACGGCCTTCTCGAAGCCATGCCTGACAACACCTAACCACAGTGTCTACACTTCTTTGCACTCTAACTGCAATTGCCCGAAAAGAAAGTCCAGCTTCCCGAAGTCCCACTATACGGCCCCTATCAAACTCACTAAGTTGACGAAATCGTACAGGTCTCCGTACTCTAGGCATCGTAACCGATCGTAAAGGATGTCAAGAACCAAAATCCGCCAACGTTGATTCTTTACTGCGGCTGAAATATTCATTTTTAGAGCGTTAGTGAATTAAAAAAAAGCAGTATAAAAACCGGAATGTT